AATGGGGACCCCGCGGGCGGGCTGGCAGTACGGCCCACCCACCTCCTAGCTGCCGGGCTTGGCCGGCGCTGCGGGTTGGTTGTGCGCCTCGCTGCTCCTCCCTGCTCAGCGCTCCCGGCTCGAGGGCGCGCTCTACCGCGCACACCGCGCACACCCCGCACACACCCACTCGCCCCACACCCACGCCGTGAGGGTACCCAACGCAGCCCTGCGCAACGTGGGCACCCCACCGGTGACATGACGCTACGCTGCCCGCTTTCGCTGGCTTCCAGAGAAATGCGCTTTCTTCGTGCTGAAAAAAGTGTTTGAACGCCGGCCGTGTGCCAGGGACTGTGTGCTCCGCATGGGGAAAACACCAAGACCAAAATAGATTGTTAAAAATCCCTGCCGGATGATACTTACATTCTGGTGGAGAAGATGTATGCAAACTAATAAGATTATTTTAGAAGAGATCGGTGCTATCGAGACAATAAAACAGGATAATGGGATATGACGGGGAAGGAGTGGGTTCCTCTCCGGGATAGGTGTTTTGAGCTGATACCTGAACTATAAGAAGGTATGCAACCAGAGGAGAAAGCGTTGAGGGCTCAGAGACCCAGTGAAGCAACAGAAACCAAGAGTATATGTGTGCTGCCCAATACTATACTGGCTATTGATGAGTTGAAATGTGGCTAGTCCCAAATGAGGTGTGCAGTAAGTGTGAAATACACATCCGAGGCCACGACTTTGTATGGAAATAAGACTAAAAAATATCTCATGAATATTTTTATATTAACTTCATGTTCAAATGTGAGTCATTTGAATATATTGGGTTAAATAAAATATATTATTAAAATTAATTTCACCTTTACTTTCTACTGCTATTTGAAAATAAAACAGTATCAGTGTGGCTTGTGTGGTTTCTGTGGGCAGAGAACCCATATCTAGTGGGGACCCTTAATCCATTCTCTAGTTCTTATTCCATGTTTCCATGTTCCCACAAGCCTTTGGATGTGGGAAACACAAAGGATGGTTCCCTGTAGGGACTTTTGGAGATCCCCAGGGAAAAGCTCCTAGGAGGAAATCTACCTTGCTGCCTAGAATTACAAAAACTATGTCACATCCTCCTCTTCAAGGACATTTCATTTAATGGCCCATGGGAAGGGCGCACATTCACCGTGATGGAGTCAAGAGAAGGTTCCCAACTGGGAGGTGGTATGAACCTAAGGGGCGGGTTTGAGAATTAATACAAAAGGATCTTGGGAGGTGAGAAAATCAGTCAAAAATAACAACAAAAAAAAAGTGATTCATTTGGGGGAAATGCAAATGAATACATCTGTTAGGGCCAAAAAAGCTAAAACACAGATGTTCGGGAGAAACTTGGAAAGTGCTTATGGATGACTGCTTTATAGATAATACTTTTCCTGCAAAATAAATGTAAGTGTGTTTCCCAAGGCAACGAAAAGGATTGGCTCTATCTGGGCACTAGCATGTCTTTTCTACCCTATTCCACTCGCTGATCACAGAAGCTTTTCCGGGGTAGTGAAAAAGAGCATGAACTTGGGAGTCACAACATTGGGCCTCATATTAATGGAATAAGTTAACAGCTGAATGATCTTGGACGTGTCATTTAACTTATCCCTGAGCTTCTTGTCTGCATTTAATTTAGACAAGCATTTTAGAGAATAAAAATGTAGTCGTTGAAAAACATGTCCAAAAATCCAATCAAGAAGTAGTGGAATCTAGTTCCCCTTCCCATGGATATGAGTTGGCCCTAGTGGCTTGCTTCTAAGAAAATGTGGCGAAAGTGACACAATGGAATGTCCTTCTAACGCCTGGTCATAAGGCTTTTAGAGTTTCTGCCAGTCTCCTTGTCTATCTGTCTATCTGTCTCTCTCTCTGTCACTCTTGCACACTTTATCATTCTCTTCACTCATTGAGCTACCATGGTTCCCTCAGGGCTGCCATGTAGAGAAACCACAAAAAGAGAGAAGCGTAAGGAAGCCTGCTGTTCCAGCCCTACCCTCGACTCCAGCTATCTGTGTCTTTATAGCCCAAGTTTTGTAAGCAGAACAAATAATTGCTAATATTTTAAGTCGATATTTTGGGGCGGTTTGCTACACAGCAATAGATAACTTATAAGAAAGTTACAAAAAAAGTAGGAAATTTTACCTTGTAACATGTACCAGTTTCCAGGAGGACTAAATTATTCTCTTGCTTAATCCTCAAATAACTGTAAATTAGTTTTTTCCACTTTATACTTAAACTTCTTAGTCTCACTTTCATCACTTGCAACATGAGGATAATAATAGACACTTATATATCCCTCAGAGTTGTTGGAAGAATCTAAAGATACAATGCATGAAACAAGGCTTTGTACATTATAAAATGCACAGAATGTTGCTATTATATTTTCCATCGTGTTCTAAGCAAGAAGGGCTCTAAGAGACATCTCTCAAGTGGAAGACAACAGTATCATAGTCCTGAAATTATAAGATTCAAGCTGGAAAGGACTTCTATGAAAATAACAGATTTGTATAATAGATTATGATAATCATGGTGATAGCATAGAAAACAAACTCAAATGTAGAATTTAGAACATTATTTTATATCTGTTATTAGTCAGGGTAAGATACCTAGTGCTAAAAAACCTAACACATCTCAGAGTTTTGACAGATTAAGTTTGTTTCTGGCTCTCAGCACAGATGTTTGCAGGAGATGGAGAGAGAGCTCCACATAGTATCCAGGGACCCAGGTTTCTGCCCTTTAATGAATACATTGTCCCTCAGTACGTCTGAGTTTACCAGTTGGTCTTTTTCATCTATTGACAAATTAGAGAAGAGGACCACACTGGAGATTTTTTTAGGGGGTCAGGTTTGAAGCCTAAGGCTTAATCATTTCAGGGGTGGGGGGGCAAGGTATTCTTAGATAAATAAAAATGGGCCACATTAGTTCAGTTCACCTTTGGGTTACTTTTTAATAACATGCCTTTGGTTTTTATTAGAGCCAATATTTTTAAATAGTCTTGTGAAGTATATTTCTGCACCCATGATTTTCCTATTGAAGATATTGCCCATTATACAGTTGAGTATCTCTTGTATAGGCGGTCACATGACTAATTCCAGTTGCTCCCAGCACTGAGTGCTAAGAGAACTCGCCTTTCCTGACCAACTGATGTTTCTTTTTTCGTCAGACAACGAAAATTATAGAGCTCACTCTGCTCTCCATTTTCCTCTGGATTCCAGAAAGCATTTGGCAAGCGCAGAAAGTACAGTCCTCCAAGTAATGTCCAATGCACCGTGTTCTCTGAGTCAATCAACAAGCATTTATTACCTAGTTTATATTAGATGCTAGAGATAAAAGAAACATTCTCCGTCCTCATGGAATCCAGTCTCGTGAGGGAGACTGATGAACAAAGAGACAATTCCATTTAAGTGTGATTGTGTCAGATAAAATCCATTTGCTTCTCTAGATTTACTTTTTATATACTTCTTCACCCTTACAAGTAAGTAGGCTGAGCTGTAAGATTATTCTAACTAAGTTCCTTGTCCTCTGGCTCTTGGTCCATTTGGCCGATGGGAAATTCTGACATGAAGTCAAGTAGAAGAGAGGAGAATGAGGCCAGGATAGTTAGTCTCCTGCCTTTCTTGCTGCAAGGTTGCCTGGGTAACTGTCACACAAAGATCACAGCTCCTAACCAAGTAACCTCTTCTATGTGGTATTCTCTGTCCAGGCTTTGGCAACCACTCTCTCTCCTTGTCCTTTTGGAGCTGGTGTCAGCTCCACTGTTACCTGGAGTTCCTGCTCCATCCCTTATGGTTCCCCTGCACCTTCCCCACACCTCTTTGAATCATCTACATTTGACAGTGCCATCTCTTTCCTCTGGGAACCTGATTGATAGTATAATGTGAGAGGAATCTCAGACACAAAAGGAGGACACTTAATTCAGATAAAGGCCAGGGATGGAGGGTGATGATAGGGGTGAGCCTGGGGTTTCAGAAAAGTTTCCTAGAGGAACTGACATCTTAGTAAAACATATAGAAGAAGATTAAGAGTTAGCAGAAAAAAATTCATGAATGATGGGATGATAAGGTTGGGAGAAGAAGACTTCTAGAGAGAGGAAACTAGTGAGGCTAAAACCACTGATGTCAGGCATCTGCAAATAGTCAGAGCTCATGCAGTGAAATGGCAAGAAGTAAAAATAGAGAGGAGGGCTTGAATGAAAGCAAAGAGGTAAACCAAGGTAGATCTTTATGTCCTTGTCCATCATGCTCACCACTTGGGGCTTTACTCTGAAGACTCTTTGGTACCCAGGATTGATTAGTGCTAATTTGGCACATCTTCAGAGATGGTGGTTAGGGAAAAACAACAAGATATTTTAAGAAGGTAGAAATCATAGGATTTGGTAC